TAATTAGTTCAAACTAAAACTATAGCTTGTCGTGAAAGAATAAAATGTGTAGAGGTAGTAAACCACCATTAAGAAATATGTTTCTGTATAGGAAAGGATTTTTACAAGAAATGTACAAATAACTTACCATTATTAAATAAATTTATAAAAATATCTTGTGTTTCTTCAGATCTGCGAAGCAAGTTCCATGCTTCTGCAACTCCAGTTCTGTGACTGTGATTATTATTTATATGAATAACAGCACAGTAACCTTCACCGATCAAAAGATCTCTGTAGCGAGTGTATTTGCTGTTTCGTTTTATTCAAATGTTTACAGAAGCAGTGCATTTCTTATCTTTACCTTCAGTCTAAATTAAAAAAGGAAGATCATTATTTGAAAACAGAGCAGACGTAGATTAGAATAAAATTTTCACAGAATCTCTTTACATAATGAATACAAAATCTTGGTACATTATTAACAGAAAGAAACCTTTCATTTTTATGTAATTAAAATTTCTATACTTAACAAGCACAGCTTTTAAGATCAGTAGCTTGACACTGACCATCATAAAAATGTTATAAAAATAATTTCATCTTATAAATTAGTCTATTGAATATAATTACATGATTTCTATGGAAGATGTACTTAAAAAAAATAACACAAAAACTCAAAAAGTGTACAAGCAGAGGGTAATTGACTGATTAGGTTAATAACATGTTCATTGTGTCTCAAGTTTCAGACAATCCATTATGTTTTTACTCAAATGCTATAAAAAAGATAGATTTGTGGGCTTTTTTCTTAATTTTATAAATTCTTTCTTAATAAAAAATCGGACTTTACTTTGGTTAGAGTTACAACAGTGTTGAGACCTGGACTTAATTTTGAGCTAATATCTACAAAGTCTAATTAAGTTAATGCATTCATTGTGTTAATTCTGTGATATTATTATACTTCATATATTTAAAATGTCATTATAATATTATTTATAATACATATATTATAAATGTTGAATAATATATATATATATTATAAATAATATAATAATATTATTAATATATGTTATATATATAGCCACAATCCATTATTATATATTGTCATAAGAGAATGTTATTTTTTACAGTTATTAACTGATTCAGTGTGTGTGTGTGTGTGATTATGGCAAAGCCTCAAGGGCTATCTGCCTAAGGGGAGGAATGCCTTCATGGAGGGCTTTCTAATGGAAACTGGCTCGTTACACATGGGGACAACCACAAAAACACCCATGCAGCCAGCCCATTCGCCTCGGACCGAACTAGTGTTCAGCGACTTTACCGTTCAGCCACTGGTGGGCTCAGGGGCGTAGCTAGAGAGGGCATCTGTCCCCGGGCGCAGAATCCAAGTGGCGCCAAACTGATGTTACGACATTTTAGAATTAAATGTTTTCCATCCTTGGCAAGCACTAGGGGGCGTGAAATCTTCAGTTGTCCCTGGGCGCTGAAAACCTAGCTACGACTCTGGGTGGGCTATTAACTGATTCAGATATTATAAATTTTTGCAGCTCTTAATACTTTGTTTATCAAATACTGATGAAAGGAGCACCACCATACATGTATAAGTAAATACTATAATTTGTTGACAAATCCGATTAAATTCATAGCAAATTTAATATGACAGTAGTATTGCAATTTTTACCTTAGTAATCTGAGTTAGTCAGTTAGGAATCTGAAAGTCAATAGTACATATATAATGTGTACCATTTTAAAAGGTAGTTTAATGTTAAAATCATTTAATATAAATTAATACAGTATATAACTGTAGCAACACAAATGAAGTTCTTAAATGCACTGAGAAACTATATTTTGATAAAGTTCTCTTCAGGCTGACATAGTATTCACAACATCAAACTAACTATGATGAATCATGAGTAACTCTAATTAAAATAATACTAGTACTAATAGGTATTAGTAACATTTTTAATTTGCATTTATTTTTCTTTTATTTGTTGTATAGTTTTTTTTTTTTTTTTTTTTTTTTTTTTTCTGTAAAATAACAGCATTTATAATATTTTAAGTAGTAAATTTAAGCCTGAATAATTTAATGAATCTGGATTAAATCTTTATGTGGATGCAAAATATAGATATAATAATAATATCAAATTGCTTAATTTTATTGAGAGTTTTAAATTACTCACAATTAATTTATGCAACTGTATTTAAAAATTTTAAGACAATTTTTATTCCAAATGCTTTTTTATCTGAACTGAATGTATGTAGTAACTGAAACAGTACTACATTCAGTTCAGATACAGTACATTAAATAATAATTACAGTTACCATTTTGCAGTCAATTACCCTTAAATACAAAATGCTACATAACTGTTATAGAAGTTGTAAATTTAAGTACATACCTTTCCTTTACAATATGAAGAATGCTGACAAATATAATTCCTTGAAAACAGAAATCGAGATTGATCAGTTGAACTTTTTCGGAGTATCCAACATGTTAGTATTTCTTTCAACCAGGTGGTGAAATCTTCACAATGAAAAGTTTCAGAAGAAATTGACGATGATTTAATTATTTTATACTGGAAATTGCACGGCAAAATATTTTCAACCATCTTGCTTAAAGTGTGCGGAAGGTCATGTGACATGACAGAAAAATTGTTGGAAGCCCATTGGTTCATCCTAGAAGCTACGCAGATGTGCGCTTGTGAAATATGCTTCCCGGAGCTCATCACGCTCTCTCGACGATGCACTAACCGTGATACACTAACAGACTCCTTCGGTGAACTCGATAACCCACTCGGCACTCGCTGCCAGCTCGATCGACTCTGCAGGGATTGACTCGCTAGACAAGGCACACACACACTAAACTGCGGATCAGCAGGGTTTATATAGCTTTCTGCTTGTGTTGGAGAACATTCTGGGCTAAACTGGTAAGAATTCGTTCCAGAAGGTTCTCCATCCATGGCATATCGAAAATTTTGTCGCCAAACGGGCGATTTCTCGCCAAATGTGGCAACCCTAGAACTGCTTTGCTTGGAAGCTATCTCACCGCGCCTGGACATGTTGTAATAATAGTTACGCATTAATTTATGATATTGATTCTAAAACGATATTAGGATGGTAAAACATAAAAAGCTTCAAAACATATATGTTTCATAGCAATAACAAAATATTTATGTTCCTTTTCAATGTGGAATTTTCCAGGTATTTTAGCTAATTTACATCAGTTTTCTTTTTTTAAGCACTGAAGTTTATCTGTTTCAATAAACAAATCAATACTCCCACTGGTTTCTGCTTCATTCCCTAATTCGTTAATATTTAAGCAATGCACCTTTGAGAAATAACTAACTTTCTGTTTATGTAATCAATTTCTTTCTTAATAAAATTCCTCTTTATTTTAGGATTTCAGATTTAAATGAAGATTTCTATTTATCTAAAGAACTGCATGTACTTAGAACGTATAGAAGAAACTGCTAGAGAATAAGTGTAAAACGATATAAGATCAGGGCAGGGGCCAGACAATTTTTAAACAAAAGATACAGAAAAGAAAAAGTGCATTTTTAAGAGAAAACTGACACAAATTTGAATATTCTGGAACAACTGCATGAAAAAAAAAAAAAAAAAAAACTCTTATGAAAAATTACAAATGACAAATGAAATTAATTTTAAATAATTACAGTAGGGCTTTTGCTTCTGCTAAGTAGTGCTTCGGAAACTGTTTCATAGCATTTATTACCTTATTTATTTTTCAAAATAAAAGTATTGTTAAGTGGCCAAAATGGAAAGTAATATTATTTTAAAGTATGACATGGGAAAATAAAAAGTTTTTAATTAAAATTTTGAGAGATTCTCTATTTTAATATAAATTTGTTTGCGTTTGTAAACAGGAAAACATCCAAAAATTCACGAATCTCCGGATAAAAAATTCTGTACAAAAATTGATCTTGGAATCGCCAAAATATTGATAAGTCGCCAAATGCAGCACCTCAAAACAAAAGGATTTCAAAAAGGGAAAAGTTGTTTTTAATGTAATTATTTTATGAACTCTTCATTCTTAAAAAAGAAATAATTTCAAAATGTTAATATTTCAATACCGGCAGAGTGTCAAACCCAAAAATTCGAGTATCGCACCATTTATTCATAGAAGTAAGAAAGAATCTAAATGATAATGCATTAAATACACATTTGTCAATGAATCGCCAAAAAAATATTCCTTCACAATTTTAATTAACACTCAAAATAGCATTCGAACAAAATAGAAATGTCAGATTAATACATCTTTTGCCAATTTTTCTCAAAATTAAAGACATTTAAGGACCACAAATCGTTTCCAAAAAAAAACCTAAGGACTTATAAGTGAGTTTAAGGACCATACGAACCCTGGTGGTTTTGGGGTTTAATGAATATGCGATGCAGTTTGCTGGGATATACAGCAGCCGAGAGATGTGACGCAGCTGTCATGCTGTTAGTGATTTATGGCATCTTACATATAGCAACAGGAAGGGATCATCTGCCATATTGGTAATCAGCCTCCGTTGTCCAGACCCACATCTTCTACATGGAGTGTGGATCCCTTTGGTAATGATTCCACAGCCTACTGATGGCACTACGATGCACATTCAACTCTCTCGCAACAACGGATTGTAACACCCGAATGTCCTATAATGCATTTCACCGAGCAAATCGTGTTTTCAGCTCATGCTTTCCGCTCTGTCTATCTCTGATTATAAGGAATATTGCTGCTTACGAACTGATATATAGGTCGAAAGCTCATTTTTAAGGCGTTGTAGTGTGACAGCGGGATTATGTTTAATGCTAATTTTGGTTGCTTATTTGCATTTGCCAATGCAACCTCTACCTCATATGTAAACTGTATGTTTTCTCTTTTTTACATTCGTACCTCTCCTTCTTGAGTCTGTTGCTTATTTTTTTAGGACAAGTATATTTAACTGAGCTTTAAACTATTACTACAAATTACATGAGTTGGCCATCAAAAGATAAATTTCATAAAATATACCACACAAACACTGTGAAAAAACTACTTTAATTTCACAAAAAAAAAGGTTCAATCACATGAAAATAATAGCTTTTTTAATGTCAAATGGCTTATTATCACAATAAAGCCAAATTATTAATAAAAATCTAATAAAATATGTAATATTAGGAGTCATCACCATATTTCAATTTTCCAGTTGTCCAGTCTTCATCAGAAGTATCTCCATCATCCATACCCTCTTGTGCGTAAACTGGATCTGAATATACTTCCTTCAGATCCATATTTTCTGGTTCCAACTGCACTTCCGAACCTTTTCCTAAATCTCTTTTTAAGCGTTTCATTTCCTTCTCTTGCTTAGATTTTTCTATCTCTTTCTTTTTCTGCACCATTTTATCGTATGCTGGCTTGAAAATATTCTCATATTCAACAGCAGCTTCTCCAACCATTTTGAAAAATTCTTCAATTCCAGAACCCACTAATGATGATACTCCCACAGTTCGAAGATCACTATAAAATTCATCAAGAACTAAACTCATGGAGCGTGTTAAATTTGATACATATGATGTATCTGCCTCTAATGCTTCTTGAAAAGCTTCAAAGTCTCGCATCCATTCAATGGCAAAGCTACAGTCTAAAACATCTGTTTTATTCAAAACAACAATAAAAGGCAATTTTGTCTTGTATAATATGCTACACGCATATAACATATTAGACATGAATGTAACAGGTTTTGCACTTCTTACAATATCCATAACATAAACTACAACAGTAGGGTAGGAAGATGATAATGCTTCAGTAATAATCATACCAGATGCTGACCAGGTGAACACTTCAATTTGTCCAGGTGTATCCAATATAACATAGTCACACTTTGAGCTACTTTTATCAACAAAATTTAATACCTGGTCGAACCTTGTAGAAAATAAATTCAATGATGTCATTATTCCTCCATTAGGTCCCAAAGAATACTGTTTCATTATATCTTTATATTTTACGGTGTCTCGAATATCAATATTTGCTGGAAAAGGAACATTATGGCATGCAGGATCAAGATTTATTACATATGGTGGGGATTTTTTATTATGCAAAAATGAAGTTATTCTTTGAACAAATGTGGTTTTTCCAGAACCAGCCATTCCTAAAATTATCAAGCATACAGGTTTCTTGTCTTTCTTTAAACTGACCTCAGAAAGTGAATGAGCAACATTTGTAACAGCAGCATCAGTCTGAGAGTCACTGCATCCTGGTATTGGTGTTTCATTTACCATCACATCTGCAAAAACATCATAAATAACACAATCATAAATATCTAAATCATAACATCATAAATATCATAAAACTAAATAACATAAGTTCTTTGACATAAGTTAACATAAGTTCCCAAAATACATATATGTATTTCACAAAATTTATCGACTTCATGTAATTACAAAAACAGAAATGTATTAAACATATTTAAATATAATAATTATAATTTATTGAAAATATCTGGTTCCACAAGTGAAGTATGCAGCTACATGCTGTATTTAAACAAACACTGAACTAATTTATAATACTTACAGCCTGAATCAACTGTAGAAGTTCTTTTACATCTAGCAATAGGTAATACTACACGTAACAAGCAATATTAAATGTGAAATAAAAACAAAAATAATGATTTTAGAAGAAAAGGAAAGATGTTAATTAGGCTGCTATCACACATCGGTTTGTTTCGGAAGAACAACTCTTTGGAACAATTTTTCTTAGTCACAATAGCCAATCACCATAGATCGCTTTGGGGTTAATACAGGGTAAACTGGTTCCCCATTACAAACAAGCTGATAGCTGATTGGTTGAAAAAAAAAAACTTGCAATTTTTTTGGAAAGAAAGGAAAAAGTCGCATGTCTTTCTTTCAATAGTAAACCAGGCAGAAAAATTGTCTGAAACAGCTGTTCGTGTGAAACAAATGCCGTGTTATATGGGCCTAATATGTAACAGCAGCACATGAATTTCAGACAAACTTCTGATGTATCACTGTTTTCAAATTAAGCTTGCTGGCTCTGTAAAATAAAATACAGCACAAAGTCCGAAATCCAGACTCGTCTGGACTTTGGCAATTCCAGATTTTATGAATATTAGATCATCAGTTTAAATCTAGTAAGATGGCATGTAGAAATTACAAAATTAAAAATATGAAATCATGATTTATGAAATAATGAAATATTTATGATCTAAAAAGTATCAAAATTTACAAAGCTTAATCTTTATTTGTTTACCTTCATTAAACATTTCCTTCAATACAAGTTGTTTAGTTGCTTCTCTTTTTGTGCCAATACTTTCTCTTTAATTCTGTAGACAGGACATAATCTCTTGTTTAGTTACAAAGTTGCTTTTGTTCAAGTCCTGTAACTGCTATGTTTGAGAATTCCGACTACTAAAATCGAAATTTTAAGGTAGTCGGAATTCTCTTCCTTCTTAATCGAAATTTTTTCGTTTTCAGTAACTTCTCTGTAACTTTCTTCACTATTGGTAGTGATATTTTCTGGATCTAGAACCATACTACAGATTTCGCCATTCACTAATTGATTGATGATTGAGATGCATTGTCATCACAATGAAAAACTTCTTTTATATCACCTTCATTTATTACCGCTTCTCCACATTTACATCTTTACAAAATCCGTTAATTGGAAAATTTCACTCTTGCTTTGTGATATCCAAAAACCTTTAAAATTCACTGCTATCATCATCAAATTTAGCTATCGTTCACTATACATATTTGGCTGTGCATCATTAGCTTGGCAACTAATGACAAGTTGTTCCATTAAATTTTATCTTGCTTCTATCGGCACTGAGTCAACTAAGCTTGAACTGTATTAGTTATTTATTATACTTATATCTATTTCTTGCACATTCTTAAGGCTTATCAGAGTTTTCAATAAATAAATTCCCACATATACTTAAGCCTTGCTGACGGTCAGCGTTAGATATCTTACTACCTGATCTCTGTGGATCCTAAATTCTGCGACCTGGTGCCGCCTTACGAGCCCTGGCGCTGGTTCTGGGTTTATGTGAATAACAAATCAGTTATTCTTAATTCAAATAGCTCTAAATGTAATCATTTGTGTCTTATAGTTATCATCAACAAAATCTATTTTAGCATTGGGAAAGACATTTTTGGTAAATTTTTGCTCATCAACGTTTTTTAGTGCATTTAACTTAAATTTGTAATCATCACCAAGCATAATGTCAACATAAAAGGTTGCCATCTTACTCCTTCATTATTCAATTACTAACATGAAAAAAATTTTTTTTTAGGCATTGCTACATGAATCATTACTCAAGTTGTCATGTGTTTGATAAGCATGTGTTGATGAAAGTGAAAGTAATGATAAATAATGATGTAATAAATAATGATTCGTCCAGATTGGTGTCCGATTAAAGATGTATCCTATGTGGAATGTTTGGGTTTGAGATGTGTGCCAAAGGAGATACGCAGCAATGGAGCCAAATTACTGATCATACAAATTTATGCTAAAATGCTTGTTTTTTCAATAACAAGGTATTTTATTTGGTGCAGAAGTAAAATTAAGAATCGAGGCGCTCCAGGTCTTATATTATGGGACGAGGGGGAATCAAATGCGCATGTGTAAAGCCGTGACCTTCGAGAGGGAGAAGGTCATGACACTTAATAAACATGGTGGAGCTTTCCGTCCGATGCTATCGTCGGACAGTCATCTGAATTTTTTAATTTTCGTCGGAAATATAACTTTATCATGTTGCTTAGTTAATTAAAATAGCTGAAAGAAAGAAGGCTTTATATACATACACACTTTTTAAACTTTTTACAGATATTTTAATTAACTTTGTGCATAAATATAATTGAAAGAACCGAAAAACAAACGAACATTTTACAAAAATTTAAACGCTGATTGAAAATTGTCACTGTCATGATAAATTGGGAAGGGGCTCTTAAGATAATAATTAATATTTTACCTAGGCTCAAGTATTAATTTATTCGTGTTTCAGGACAAAATATATAACCATCAACTTCTATATCTCCAGCATATGTAAATGAAATACTATATAAATTAGCTAATAAATGTGATTAAAATATTTCATAAAAGAAACATACCTAAATCTTATAACAAAAAAGCCTTCCAACATTCATATTTGAAATGAAGTAACCTAACAAACAACATGCACAACTGGCAATAAAAAAAATAATAAGCATACAAATGATAATCATAATTCCCATTATCCTAAAATTTAGAAACTAAAAATATGTATATACACATGCATGATTGAAAGAAATGGTGCTAAGAAACATCAGCATTACTACTAAATATTCTAATGCATAATTGTTGCATTTTTAAATCATATAATATTTAAAAAACATTAAATTTTACATTAAGTGCAAATTGCAGTTCTGTTATTTTTCTCTTTGAATTTGTAGTATATCTCTTGGTATGAATACGAATGTTGCAAGTTATGTTTTTTAATTATTACGTTTGAATACATTCCTTTTCATTGTTAATTTTTGTACATGCTTGTGAGGCAATAATTCAAATGAATGGAAAAAAACTTTTATTGTGTGCTATTTAATAAGAGCAGATTTAAATGTGCAGTTCTTATTATTGTGTATATTATTCAAATCATTTCTGCCAAGTATACAAGGGAAAGTACCCAAAGGAATGTTATTGATTTGAAAAAATGAATAAAATGGCCGTGAGAACCTGCCTGAACTTTCAACCTTGTCTAAAACAAGCGTATATAAATATATTTACATATGATAGAAAGAAATGATGTTAAATTATCAGCATTGCTACTAACTATTGTACTTTTAACAGCTTGTTATTTAAAAAACACTAAATGATTTTTTATTAATTGGAAATAGTAGTTCTGTTACTTTTTTCTTGTACTTTTAAACACTGCATAGTTTATGGTGTTTTTTAAATATTGCCACATACACTAAATTGTCAATACACTATTTAAAATATTAAAAAAATTTTTTAATATTTTTAATAGTGTGTGTTGTTTGTTAGGTTATCTCATTTCAAATATGAATCTGGAAAGGCGCTTTTTTCTATAAGATTTAGGTATGTATTATTTTTTAATCACATTTTTATTAGCTAATTTTATATAGCATTTCATTTACATACGCTGGATATAGAAGGATGGTTATATATTTTGCTCTGGAAAGCGATAAATTAATACTTGAGCCTAGGTAAAATATTAATTACAATTTATCATGACAGTGGCAATTTTCAATCAGCGTTTAAATTTTTGTAAAATGTTCGTTTGTTTTTCAGTTCTTTCAATTATATTTATTCACAAAGTTAATTAAAATATTTCTAAAAAGCTTAAAAAGTGTGTATGTATATAAATCCTCCTTTCTTTCAGCTATTTTAATTAACTAAGCAACATGATAAAGTTATATTTCCGACAAAAATTTAAAAATTCAGATGACTTTCCGACGGTAACATCGGATGGAAAGCTCCGCCATGTTTATTACTTCTCCCTCTCGAAGGTCACGGTAAAGCCTACTAGAAAGACGTTGTTGGTGATTTTGAGGTCTAGATTTTAGATCATTCCAGATAATGGACGCCTCGATTTCGGACTTTTGTACCTCAAACATGTTAGCAAAAACTCTGAATGAAATAAAGTTGGAGACAGCATAAATCAATTGCTAATGAAATTTAAAATATTGGGAGTGCACTGAAGAAATCTTGCTCTCAAAAATGAACAATACAGGAGCATCAGTTTCAGATAGAGACAAGAATGTGTACCGTTTAGCTAAGAGAAGTTAAAGTCAATACATGATGACTTACTTTCATGAGCTTGTTAAATCTTTAATAAAAGTTCACCGAGTTATGCATAAACATCTTCATCTCGATGAAATCACATCAAAGCAAGAACTTCAATGGCAAATATATCAAGCATTACTTAACTGTAAACCAGAATGCATCATATCCACATATAATTCATTCTGAAACATACTGTGTAGAGTTTTCTTTAGTTCAACTAACGTATTATTCAAATTATTGTTATCTTTCTTGAACTCCTCAAATTCCTCTCACATTTCCTCGGGAGGATGTAAATTTAAAGTGAAGTTAAGAGGTTATTTAAATGGGTAAATCTTGGAGTTTATTCAGAGCATGTATTCGCTAGCCAGCGCACGTTTTGTTTCTGACCTTGCTGTTACGCTGAATATGACTTTTAGCAATTTGAATAATTATCAAACCTGTTAAGTTGTCGAGTCAGTCTACTTAGCCGTAACTTAAAAGTGCTAA